CGATCCAATCCATGCGACGTGGAGGAGCACGCTGCCGTCGGGCTGGACCTTGTGGCCAGCGACGTGGAGCACGTGCCACATATCCGGGTCGGCCATGGCGGCGGCGCGCCCGCCCTTGACGGAGCGCCAGTACTTCCACAGCGCGGCCGGCGCGTCCTCCTGGACGTTGGCCTCTGGCTCCCAGGAGAACTGCTCTTCGGGGTCTTCCGTGTCCCACTTGACGCGGACTTCGAAGAGGGTCTCGTCGTCTGTGGCTTGGCGGTGCTCGACAATGTCCTTCATCTCGAAGACCTCCGCGCCGTCCTTGGTCATGGGCTGCAGGGTTTCGCCGTTGTTGGCTCCGGTCTCGGCCTTGGATGTGTCGTCGCTAGCAGCTGGTTCTGGAGCCACTGGTGTCTCCGCCTTTGGTTTGTTGGTATCGTCGGCGGCGGTTTCCTCGGGAGCCTCCTCCACAGCAGATTCGGCAACCTGGTCTGGCTGCGCGGTCTCTTCCCCATTGACCTCGACTTCCTCCGTCTCGACTTCTTCCGTCTCGACTTCCTCCGTCTCGACTTCCTCCGTCTCGACTTCCTCCGTCTCGACTTCCTCCGTCTCGACTTCCTCCGTCCCGACATCATCTGCCACGTCTGCACCAGTAGGAACATCTAGCGACATATTAGTCACAGTTCTATTGACACTGACAGAAATGGCTGGCGCACCTCTAGCCGACCGAGGGCTCTCCACCGTGCCCTCAAGCGATTCGCGAAGTTGGTCCTCGAGCTCGACAGCCGTGCTGTTCGCCTTGACCTCGACTTCCTCCACAACCGTCTCCTCCGTCGCGACAATCGTCTCGCCTGCAGGTCCCTCCGTCTTCACAACAGTCTCGGTGACCGTGGCGCTATATGTCGCGACAGGCTCGGCCTCCTCTGGCGCCTCTGCATCGGCCTCGTCCGCCGCAGGCTCCTCAGCTTCTTCGATATCCTTGAACGCCCTCTTGCGTCCGGCCGCGGCAGACGGGCTCGTCGGCTCAGGCGTCGCATTGTTCCCGCTGCCGCCGCCGCCGCCGCCAAGGACATTGCGCACCGATTTCCAGAGAGCGCCGCCGATCGAGGCGGGCTCCTCGGGGACGTCGGGCTGGGGCGTGGGCGTGGGCGGGGGCTTGGGCGCATCGTCCTCCATGGGCGCCATGGGCGCCATGGGAGCCAGGGGCGCGACGGGCACCGCGTCGACCGAGGTGGACCGAGACTTGTCGTGGCCGTCCGAAGGGGAAGGAGCGGCAGAGGCCAAGGCGGCGCGCGGGTTGTAGCCCAGGTCGCGAGATGGCGGCCTACGCACGGGTGACGCGAAGGCCATGGTGCGCTTGTGGGGGGCGGTGAAGTTGGACGAGGTGACGGGCCCGGACGCGCCGTCGTCGGACGCGACAGACTTGAAGCGCTTGGGAGGGCGGGTCGACTGTGAGGTGGCAGGCATGTTGAAAGAACCGGGTCGCGGGCGGTGGAGTGTCGTTTGCTTGGTGTGAGGCAGTCGTGGCGTCGTTGCTGCGGCGTCACTAGGTTTCGCCATGGTGGATGAGGAGGGGGGGAAGTCGCGTCGTTGCTTGTAGTACGTGGGGATGTATGTGACCCTGTAAGCTGTGGTACGTGGTGGAGATATAGGCAGAACCTTCCGCGAGGGTATCTCGAGATGCAGAGGGCACTGCGATGGCTGAGCCCGAGCCGGCACGAGGTTGATCGATGGCTGGCTGGGTTGGCGACGCGACGTGACAAGTGGGTTGATAGAGAAAAGATGGTGTCGGTCGTGGTGTTGTGGATTTCACTTTCGCGCCTGCTCTGGCAAGTTCCTTGGAAGCTGCGTTCCGAGCACTCGTACCTCCTCGTACCTACATGGTGCTACAGTACCTAGGTGCCTTACTACCTACACACTACACAGCTGCTGCACATGCGACTGATGGTTGCTGGTGACGAGACCTGCTGAGTCAGCGATCCAGCGATCCAGCGATCCAGCGACCAGACTGCTGGTCTGCGCCTGCGTCTGGGGACTACCCCCTGTGCCACAGGGGTCATCCACTAAGTGTACCGCTAGGCCAATGGATGTCTTGTTCATTGGCATGGGAGCACACCATCTGGATTGACCACGGCAAGCCACGGCAAGCCACCCACGCTCACATGACTAGAGCCTGCCATAACGAACCTCGCAGTATATCTGCTGGCTCCCAAATGACTGCCAAACTATCGGACAACAAAACCACCCGCATGGCATTGTGAAATAAATTGTACGTGTCGGATAGTAAGAAAAAAATGCAACAAAAATCACGGATATAAAACGACTGATGGCAGACATTCAGCCCAAATCAGAGGCGTGTAGGTAACATCACGAGAGACCATGACAGAGCGATCATCCACAACCCATATTCAACAATCACCTCCAGTCGCATCAGTCGTCATTACATTTCATCATTCGTCAGATCTCGTCGAGATACTAGGCTTGGGTATCCATGCCGAAAATCAACCTATACCTCGCACCAAAAACAGACCGCTCTACCCAGTAAGACCCCATACGGCCCACGACACCTCCCATCTCACGCACTCGCCCTGCCAAACTGGACATTGTCAGACGATCGCACGCTCCAGACCTTCCTGCCCGTCGCCTTACGACACGCCGCGATCCACGTGAGCGCCACGACCAGCGGCAGGCCGATCCCGACACCGACGCCGACACCGATCCCCCACCTCTTCTGGCTCGCGGCAAGGTCCCGCGCAGACGCCTGTCGCCTGTCCGCGAGTACCTGGTCGAATTCCGCATCCGCTAGCAGAAAGTTGTGCGAGGAGTCGGCCGGCGCATCCGATGACGCGCTCGGCTGCGAGATGGTGATGACGTTCCGCCGGGTGCGGGCCATGAGCCACGCCGCCTCCATCGTGATGCCGGGCATGGGGTTCGCGCGGTACGCGTCTAGTATCGTCTGCGGCGTGAAGCGGTATGTGCCCGACATTTTCTTGTTGGCAGTCAGGTCTGCGCCGGCCCTGCGTCAGTTTTCTTCGTCTTCTCCGTGGACCAACCTCAACCGCGCAGGGCTCTGGAGCACAAGGGTGGAGAGGACACACTCACTCGTAGCGTAGATGGTGCGCAAGCCCTGGTCATCCTCCCTTCCCGGCATCTCGTCCGGCAAGCTGCTGAGCCAACGGATCGTCACGGGAAGCGACCCGTTCGCATGCCCGCCATGCAATGTCGTACCCATACTCAGACTCTAAGAGGGCCGTCCTGGCGCCGGCGCCGCTTGCCCACAATGAGCTGGCGCCCTGTGGCCAGTCGCAATCATCGCCAGAGGGGCTGAAGGCGTCGTATCTGCACCATTTGAACGACGACAGGCAGATACCGTCGCTGGCGCATTCCGAGTCGAATGCCGGGTCGTATGATGCCGCTGCCAAGCCCAATAGGATGGAGGACACAATGTTTCGGATGAATCGCATATCGACGAGTTGCTCCCAGCTTGGAAAAGGGTATTTCGGTCGAGGGAGCTCATAAGCTCAAGAGGGCGGCGCTGCATGAGGACGCAATATTTATACAATGAGAAGAGAGGCCGTCTCGCCGTCATGATGTAATGCTCGGCATCATGTAGAAAGTTGTGCCCGCATCCGTATGCTGTGCCGCAGGGCGCCGACCTCCCGATTGGCAGTTCATCGAGAGGAATCTTGGCTTCCAGGCGAAGCCTTCCATGCGTTGATCTCGTGCTGCTGCCTGGAGCAGGGGTCCGTCGTAGGGCTGCCAACGAACGTCGCTGATTGTTTGAGATAAGTTCGACGCGGCCATGAGCTGCGTGTATTGAATCAAATTGTCTACAATCAATGGAAGCCTAGACCGACCGGCCGGTGCTCAGCTTGTTGCGGCCGTTGAGCGACCTTACCAGCTGCCTGGATTCTGGTTAGTGTCATGGATCCATCCGCGCAACAAGCATACTGCGCGGCGCCAGTGTATCGCGTGCTTGAAAAGCGAACAGATCCGGGACATCCTGGTTGTTTGTCGTGGCTCGGCCTCTGATCGCTACATCCTGGAGTTGGGAAACCCCACGTCTGGCAGATTCCAAAGCGTATCGTACACCTGGAACTGCGAGAACAGGTCGTCGAGCAGAATCTGGTCGTCGCTGGTCCCCGATGGCTGTGAGAAGAACGGCGGATCAACTTGGCTGACCAGTCGCGTTTGCTCGTCCGGCCAGGGCTGCACAAATTTCGTCGTGACATGGAGCGTAGATCTCGGATCGTCGGCGGCGGACATCGCTGCGAAGGGCGACAAGCCGTCGCTTGCGCCGTAGGAGGGAGGCGACACGAGAATGTCCCAGAAATACCCCGGATCAAATGTTATGGTGGAACTATCGGGTCGGCTCTCGGCAGCCGACTGAAGCTGGCGGAGAATGTTCAACTAAGGCCATGTCAGTTGCCGATCGGACGACGCCGCGCTCCGACGCTGCCTCACCTTGTGCCGTAGGTGCGGCCATTTGACGGAGAGGCGTTCTAAGAATCTTTCGCAGAGGTACAGGCCCTCGCGAGCCTTGGAGGCCATCTGTTGATCCTGGGAAAACTGGAACAGACAGGGGATGATTGCCGTGGCTGCGACCTGATGCCCCATCAGGGGGTCGTTTATCTCCAGTTCCATCTCCTCAAAGGTCTGTAGTAAACGGATCACCCATCCGGTATGAAAAAGTGACTGGTCAATGATGTGTTGCATGAAAAGCTTCGGTTGAGCCCTGCACTCGCGGCCTCGCAAGGCCACTAGGTGGAGGAAAGGATGGTTGAGAACGGCGAGGGCTGCGTGGGATGAGAGCTGCATGATCGTCCACGGCGACCAGTATTCTCTGTTAGAATGAAGCTCGGACGGAGAGCGGTGTTTGACTAGTATGTTCTCGAACCGGTGGGGAGGTGCGAGATCCAGCTCAAACTGGTGCAGCTGGACCTGGATCTGGGAGTACGTTGAGTTGGAGGACCACGGGATTTCCGTCTTCCCTTTGCGAATGCTGCTCAAGTATGCACAGATATCTCCCCAGATGGAAATGATCTGGACGCTCGGCGAGACGATTCCTGCTTTGGGGTCCTGGTTCTGTTGGAGGCCGGTCTGGACCGCCTCCAACGCCGGCTCGGAGACACCTGGCGGCAGGCAAGGATTGGAGGGTAATCCCGGGGCGTCATCCTGGCTACTGAGAACAGAATATGTGGGGGAGAAGGCCTTTTCAAGGATGAACACGCTCCAGTAACATCGAGCATCAGCGTCATCATCCTCGGTATCGGGGGCTGCCGTCGATGCTTGTCGACTCAATACGCGCAGCGTCTCCAATCGTGAAGCGGTTCCAATAGACATCCAAGCTCGCGTTGAGTTTCTGTCTGCGGTACAAGGTCAGCTCAAACGGCCGACATGGTGTTGGGCGGGAATCCTACTCATAATGTCGCAAAGTACTAAGATGCAGAGAGACTGGACAACTTCTGGGTCTGCCTTGCCTTCTGCAGCTAGCCTAGTCACGGATTCTCGTGCTGAATTCATATAGAATACGGACGCCGCTGCTTCATTGCCGTTGTAGAAGGGGTTGTCTAAGTAACGAAGACATAAGGCGAAAAGGCTCCATCGAAGGAACTCGGGGAAGCCTGATATTCTCTTGCGAAGGTCCAGAGGCCTAAAAAGTGGCAACGGCTGGAAGTAGATCTTGGTTTCATAGATACTAAGAATACAGTCGATCACTTCAGCAGGCGGATTCGGGTTCGATGGAGACCTGCAGGAGTCGGAATCAGCTTGCAACCTCGCCGCGGCCGTGGTTCAACTGCGTCCACGGTACCCACCATATGTTGTTCTGAGATATCGGGCTCGACGCAAAGTTGGGAGACGGGGAAACCATGCTAGACTCGCTGGCCGAGGAGTTGCGCCTCAAGTCGCGGCCAGGCGAAGACCTAGAGCTGCTTTGGAGTGTTTTGCCGTCATCGCCCGGATTGGTGAGTGATCTGATGAGAAAGCATCAGCTTGACCATTGAGGTCAACAGCGGCAAGGGAGAGATCGAACTGTAGGATGTCGTAAATCTGGCCAACTTTAGACTCCAGGTTTCTAACCCTTTTAATCGATGAACTGTGTAGTTGCACATGTCAGTTGCGACAGCGCTTATCATCGCAAGGGGCTGGGGGAGAGAGCTACTCGGATGATTTTGTGACCCGGCCTGCATCTACATCCACAGTTCTCTGATGTCTGGGCAAGTAGTGGCATGGTTGCTTGAGCCTGATACAGAAAGAGCAAGCAGGCTTTTCTGCGGGACACTTCGTCTTCTTCCGCCTGTTTGGTGTGTAAGTGCGTACGTGACAATCTAGTGGGGCTTGCCATAGCAAGAAGACTTTAGACGAGAGGTCTTTACCTGCAAGGCTCACAGGCCTGCCGTGTCTTTGGATCTCCTGGGGCGATGTGAGAAGTCATGTTGGGCAGCAGGGGTCGATTGGGATATGGGCGGAGTTTTCGAATAGAGGTGTGTACCGTGTCGCCGCGCCCGGAGCCATGGGGACGGTGGGAGGATTATGGGGACATTGTCTTGGGCCGGGAAACTGAGCACGTGAGCGGATTCCGCCCCGAGTGTTCAATCAATACCTACCGCACTAAGTACCTGGCAAGCCAGGTAACGCACCTCAGGCAAGATCGCCAAAAACATCTTAGTCACGTGAGCGGAACTTGGGCATTTCTCTTCTCCGTACCATACCTACACTCCTGCGTGGCTGGAACGCTGACAATGTCTCACAAGTTTGGATATGACCATGACTCATTGGACACGACTTATACTGTGCCATCCATTGCCATTAACGGAAGGCTCGCATGACCACGAAGGACAACACACTGAGCTGCTATCATAGGAGTCTTCCGACATATCACGAAGCCATCAAGGCGAAGAGAAATTTGGACACTATGGCGCTGGTTCTTCCTTTCGAGGTCCGCTATAGTCCTAGTATCATGATCGATGTGTATCTCAAGACCTTCTCATCGATGTCCTTGCTCGACATTTGATGGCTCTACCAGTGGAAATGGTGCAAATCACACCGAATTAGAGTTGTCCGCGCAGGACCAAGCCCTCGATCCCCCATCAGCCTTGTAGGAGGCGATTATGCCTGTGATGGAGCCGTACGTGCCGGCGATCATCAGAAATGTGCCGGAAACGATAATGAAGACATTCAAAGCCACTAAAAGCACCCACTTAAGTGACTGAACCTCGCCGCCTTTCCAATTATCATAAAGCCACATGCACCCCAGAGGCTGGAAACACATGAGAGTGCCAAGCAATGCGCCAATCAAGGCCACTAGCCCGCCAAAAATGGGAATGCCGCTAGCGATGGTGTATGCCACAACGCCAACGCTGAAAACGCACCCGAACCAAGTCGCCCAGTGAGTAAAGGTGTTCCCCGCGAGATGCTTTGACTGTCTGAGAATGCGGACGAAGAACCATTTGCTCGCAAACTGACGTTGTCAGAAATCATCGTGGACGAAAGTATGGAGACTCACGTGGGTACTCAAGGTTGAGCTGGCAATAAGCCCTGGGAGAGCGATCCCGTAGCTGATCTGTTTGAGCAGCTTTCCTGCGGACCCAAGAGCCGGTGAAGCAACAAAAGAGCCGCAGTAGTAGTACACTACTACCCCAATTGTGATGTAGGTAACGGTGACGATGGTCTGACAGAGGAGCATGGATTTGGCGTAGTGGCGAGGATCTCGCATCTCAGCCACGATTGGAAAGTAAAATGGCGTGCCGACATATGCAAAAATGAACGTCGATATAGCGGATATAGCTTCGGTAAAAGTTGGATTTCCAACAGTCTTCCAGTCAGAGGACCAGGGCCCGTCAGGCGCCTCGTCAGGTCGGTCTTGGACGCCCACAGCAATGGTGACGATCAGAACTATGCCACCGTTAAGATCTTGTACTTGAGAAAAAGTGATAGGAGGTTCCCGGAGCATGAACCAAACCCCAGACACTGAGGGAATAGAGTGCGAAACGTACTCGAGACCAAAATTGAAACGAGACCAGCCCATGCGATGAAGCTTATGCGGTCAAGGGTGCGAAGACTTGCGAGAAACATGGCGATGATGGCCGCAACTGCTACGAAGACGGCAGTACAGGCTCCGTGAGTTGAGACTGCATTGAAGCTGATAGAGATGCCGAGCATGCCGGAAGCGGCAGCGAAGACGAGGACTATTAATGCTTGAGTCAGAATTGAACATGTAAGAGCGATGTCGCGATCTTTGATTACATAGAACAAAGCACACTCCGAAGACCTCCCGGCCGACACGACCAAACATAATGCCAACAGCATCATCGATACCATAGACTTCGCGGTGGTTGAGCTTGAAGGTGCCAACGACGTAGCTGCCCCAAGTCGTGAGGATGGCAATGGTCAGCATGCAGATAATTCCAGGGACCATGCCGAGGATGTCGAAGGCAGCTGGAATCGAAAGAACGCCCAGGCCGATCTGACACTTCATCATTAGGACGGATGTGCCGAGCCAGCCCACCTAAAGAAAAGTGCTTGTCAGTCATGTTTCAAGAGTCCAGATTTCGGGCAGTCGACGCACGTTGCGGAAATTTGGGCCATCCTCAGTCAGTTCTCCAAAAACCTCATCATGGGTAGCCTTGCTCAAGTGGGTGGTTTCACCGACTTCAGAAGCCACAGCAGTCGGACCTTCAGGGTTTTCGTTCGTTTTTTCGACTTTCGAACCCATTTTGAACCTAGTGTCTCTAAGGAAACTCCAGGGATTGAACAAGTAATAGCTGAATCTTCTGTGATGGCTGAGTACCTAGGAACCACAGCACAATGTTGCGTAACGGTGATGTTGTCAAACGAGGCGAGGACAAACATCACCCGGAAAGGATAACGTCTTATATGGCTTCCCCCTTTCTGTACTGGTGATCCGTGCAGCCCCGGATCGCTCGTACCCCGGGTCTTTGGGGTACACAGCTCTTTGCCGTGTGGGGGATCGTATGGAGAATGATTGCCTCGTGGTTGAATGTGTCAAGAGTTGAGTAGTCGACGCTATTGGGCAAAGTGGGACGGAGTTCCCGGAGGCTACGATTAGCCCTCAACAACTAATGCCCATGCGAATAAGTTAGCCGAAGACTTTGCTTCCGCTTGCCCGAGACTGGGAGCTTTACCATGGCGCACTAGTGATTCATAGAACAAGGGTCTGGGGCAACTCTCGCACCCCATAGAAACTATCCGCAGGGCCGGACCCGGAGAATCAAAGGACGCCGTGTTATAGTGCTTGATGGGGCATACTAGTCCTTCTCTGACGACATTTCGCTTTACATTCGTCTATTCCAGTCCACGAGAGCCCGTGGGCGCGTCCGCTTTCTGATGGGCGGTCTCGGATGTTTCAGGCCTCATGCGGTGATGGGATTGCACCCTGACCATTGCGAGGCTCAAGATGTTCAACTCGGTGACGGCGTAGTTTCGGTTAACAGTAGAGGGAAAGGTCGGCCCTCAGAAAATTTTAGCAGCAGACACATAAAAGATCGTGAAAATGGGTCTTTTGCTCTTTCGGGTTTCTGTTTTTTACCGTGATCAAAACTTA